CTGAATGCCTTCTCTCACGTTATTTTTGGTTATGCTGCAACTAGTCGCCGATGATCGAGCCAAGAAAATTGTTCCTTTCGTTTCTGTGTGCTCTCAGGGTGCGCTGTATAAATGTGCATACTTTTGGATTGTGCCCATGCTTCGGAGTGAGCCTGCTGCCCTTGACCCAAAATAACTGTGCTGTTACTCTCTTGCTCTGCGCTGGGTGTGCGGTGTGGAGCTGTCTGTCAGTGATTACACTGAGAGGTACTAGTGTTTCTCAATAGAGTTGTTAGTCCCTCCCACCGTAACAGTGTCTGCAATTGTATTCCATCTTTAGTTGTTTGAATTGTATTGTCTTTGCAATGTCAGAGTGCTACTGAAAGTGGATTGTAAATTGCACCTGTATTCATGCAAGGGCTGCAAAAAACACACACAAGGATTGCTCAGAGGTAACAACTGTTTGAAAAGTTCAGTTTCTCTCTATAATAGAGCCTCTTCCTTTGGACTGTGTTTAGCAGAAGCCAGATATCCTGCCCTATAGAAAGCAGGTAGCATGACCTGAACTTTGTAGCTTCTTTGTAGTTAGTCACAATATACTGTTTTCAATCCCCGATTTCCTCTTCACCTGTCATTAAACTGCAGGACTTGCTTATCTCTGTCTTTGTCTGCAATTTCATGTGGTTACAATTGGCTTACTGCAGATTGCTTCCATGAAACTAATGAACTTTAGTCTAGAAGGAGACTGATATTTCAAGAAACTGTAATTCTTTAACTTTCCTGTTTGCTAACAAATAGCACAGAACTAGTATTGCCAGGTAGTTCCCTTTATGTAACCAGACTTGATGGTCTCTGGAAAGCTTTTCCTAGTGCTTCTGAAATCACTTTCCTCTGCAGTTGTGCTGAGAATGATCCTTTGAGCAGCCATCATTGTTTCATGTTTCTTTAGAGAGGATGTTTTTACTGATAAGGGAATACAGAGGTAGGTAAACCCAAAGACGGAGTTCTGTGACCAACACTAATTGGGAGACTGAAATTGAGTGATGTTATCAAGTAGTTTTCTGCCTCCCCCATGTTACATTGCTGCCCTCAAAGTAGGATTAGCTGCCACATGCTTGGGCAGTTCTGAAACTGTATCACTTTCTTTAAAACATCTTGTGTTTTTTTTCTTTTTTCTTTTTCCCTGATCATGTTTCTGAATGTTGAGGAGCAGTTTTGTCCTATTACCTACTATTTATCAGGTACTTATCTATTTACTTATCATTAGTGAGCTACTATTCAGTTACCGTGCACATACAATGTGAAGCTGCATGTCGTCGTGTTAGCCCAGCACAGCCTTTCTTTGATTGCCTTATATACATTTGTTGTAAAAGCTCTGTGCAGTTAAATTACAGAGAGCAGGCTACATCTTGGATGCTGATTTCACTGCAATTTCTTCAGGTCATATGTGTCCCACTGCATCTGTAGTTTTAGGGTTTTTTTTGTTTTTTTTCTGAAAGTTTGCCTATCATTTAGTGAAGTCTGCTTGTGCTGACAGGTCTTCTTTTTTAACTAGCTGTCAAATTAGTTTCAGTTAGCATCTTCCATGTGGGAAAGCTCAAAAGCAAGCAGCTCTTGGAGATAAGTTTTATTAAGAAATAATTCTGCTTGAGAAGGATATATTCATCTGGCATAGTGAAGGACAAGGAAAGCTAATGCATTTCTATAGGTTTTATTGTTTAGGAGAAATAAATTGGAAGAGCAGCTCATTATGCAAGTTTTTGTGTAGTTTTGAATAATGTTATGTATTATGTTATGTATTATGTATGTTACTGTACCTCACAACAATCAAATTCAGGGAAGGACAGAGGAAAAACTCCATACTTTCTGATATAGAAGGAAAAGGTAGAAAATGAATGATGCCTGCACAGTTTAGTCTAGAAGATAAAAAAAGGAGCTGAAGTGTGTTCCTTATGGGACTTCTGTCATTTCACTGCTGAATCCAGCATTGCTTCCTTTCAGCTGTCTGGAAATGGCTCTTGCTTCTGTAGTTCTCATTACCCTAGCCATGTCAGCCTCTGTATGTACACTATCAGGATAAAGGTTTCAGTGTCACTGTTGTGGTGAAGTGAGAGCAACTGGGCTAAAGGCTGAAAGTAGAGCTTTTCTGCAGTTAGATAGTGGCTGCCTGAATGGTATTAACACTGAATGGTTGTGAGACAGAGTGCACTAACTTGAATTGTATCCATATCTTTTTCTACCACGTCACCAAATCAACCTTCATAGTTCTGGAGTTCCAAAGCCCAGGGATGACAGGTGCACTAACTTGAGTGAAGGGTGCTGTGTAGTGCAAACTGGGGAGTGGTGCATGTGGGTTAAGTAATCTCTCAAATGAACACTGCAGTAAAAAGCAGCCTGTTTCTGTTCCCAGCAGCCCTTACACGTGCTGCTCAGACTAGAGTACACCCCCATACCAGGAAAAGTGCAGTAGAGGAACTGGGCAGCATGTAGCAGTTACCCTTTCCAGCACTAAGGGCTGTGCTGCTCCAGCATTAGGTAAAGTCTGGAATAAAGGGGAGCTGAATCATCTCATATGTTAGAGCTTTCTGCTGCAACCAGATAGTCTCGCTGTATTCTTGCTGACTAATTGAGGGTGTTATTTAGTCTTTACATTCAATGAGAAAGCAACCACAATTCTCACACAAACCTCTCCAATAGGATAATGGATTTTGCAGTAGTGCCAGCAGGTATCGGCCTGAGAAAGTGGGACTTCTGAGAAGGAAAATGTCTGGAACAGACTGCAGAAGACTTACAGCGGGGCCTTTTGTTGCAAGCAAAACAGTTTTACTTCTGGAAATGACACTGGACTAATTTTGTTAATGTTGAGAGCAACTTTTTGGACCTCTTGAGCCCTAGTTGTTTGCATCTCAGTAATCTATAGTTAGTCTGCGGTTGCTTTATTTCTTGTTAAGGTATTGGTCTTGTTGGAGCTTGCATGATTTCTTTCCTAGGAAGAACATTGTTACAGCTTCATTTTCATTTACAAGTATGTAGTTTTAATCTTAAACGTTGTTTCTGTGATTCTGTGAATACAAATACAAATTAAATGCAAATTCATAAATATGGCTGCTTCTGAACAGTTTTTCTTTAGTGGATAATCAGTTTTATGTGAATTCAATTACTTCACTTACTGAATTTCTACAATTACGGTAGGAGAAATGTATTAAATACTTCAGGTATTCAGCTGAACCTCATTTTCTTAATAGTACTATTTTGATATATTAGTATCTGATCACTTTGAAGCAGCAGTAGCTGTATATTGAGTGCTGACTTCAAACTTTGACAGACCTTGAAGTTACAAAGGTAGGAGTTATTGTAGGATATCTTGAAGAGCAGCATGCTTTTATTTTGCACTTCTGCAAGTCATGAATCATGCAGGAAGATAGCCACTTAGCTTGATCAGTTATTAACTCATAAGAGTAATGCTTTTCTATTTCTCCCAAACCAGATGTGGCCGTGCTCCTAAACTGATCCTTACTTTAGGCCTTTTTTTCTTAATAGGGCTTTTGATATATTTGAAAAATTAGATATATCGAGAAGGAAAGAAATTTCTGGTGGCAGCAGTAGGTCGCTCCTGCATCAGCAGGGTGTAGTCTCTACCTAAATTATTTCTTAGACTCTGCATGCTGTTACCATTTCCAAATGTTTCCTTTGTGTTACATCTCTTCTGAACTTTTATTATTTCTCACTGGTCTGCCCTCTACTGTGTGTCATGTTCTTTACTCTGTATTTTGCACAAGTAGTAATAGGAGATTTTTATCTTCCCCTTTCGAGCTTGTGCTTCACCATCACCTTTAATTAAGCTCTTTTTGAGCTGGCATCTCTTCCTTCTCACTTCCTGGTCTCCTTTTCTCATGTTCTTCTGCTGCCCTGCCTCTTCTTTCTTTGTAATTAAGTTATTTTTCTTCATTGGTCAATGACATTGAGGTCTTCCTAATCATCATAAATTGAAGTAGACATAGTTTTGTCCTAGGTACCTCCTTTGCAGCACTTGAAAGCACAGGTCTGAGATGATGATACTGATAAAGTTGTGGATAAGTGGTTACAGGACAGTGTCTGCCCTTTTTGGGGAGTTGGAGGCAGAAGGAGCAGTGCCTTGCTTGCTTTCTGCTTCCCTGGGATTTCCTACCTACTGGCTTGAAACTGTTATTGTAGTTTGGCCTGCTGTAAATACTTTAAGTATGATGTTGGACAAATGTTACAATTTGATGTGGATAGCTGTCACTTTTAAACTACATAAATGTGTAAACTCTCCCACTGTTTTCATGTGCTTATTTGATGTTCAGAAAGGAAGACAAACTGTAACTGCCTTAAATGTCAGCTTGCTTTTTTAAAGGGCAAAGACAATACTTTTGTGTTCTTGGGTGATTGTTGATAAATGTTTTTCCTCTAACCCCTTTGAAAATGAGGGGAGGAAAGAAAGGACAGAATGAAAACCAGAGCACACCTTTGCAGAGCTTTATTTTCAGAGGATCTTTTTCCCCTGCAGCACAGGCTAATAAGCAAATAATCTTTATGAATAGCATAATCAGTTATTTGAAAGTCAAATACCTTGCAAAACAAATCTGTTTGGCTTGTGTAGACAGTGTGAAATTGAAGTTGGGCTGCTGAGCCTGCATTCAAGTAGTTTCACTTGTGGTCACTGGAGCCTTGTAGCCAGACCTACAAAGTATTTTTTTCAGAGATGTAGAAACAGTGGGAGTTGGTGGTGCAAAACACAAAGTGAAGCAAAACTCAAGAGATAACGGGGAGACTTAATCTCCCTATATGAATCCAAATGGTAGAATGGGTAAATTTTATGTAACAGTGTGAAATTAGCAAGTAAGTTTGATATGAAAGGTATTCCTGCTGTGAGGATGCTATGCTGCTTTGTAATAGGTGGTAGTGATGTAATCTACAGCTTTTCTGTTTGTCTCCCATGTGTAGAGATCAAGATAAATGTGTATTAATAAAAAGTAAAATACTTTATTTTTCTTTTACAGTAAAAGAAGTGGAAAACAAGCCTTGCAGAACAATGAGGTAATTATTTTTTCATGTTATATATATTGAATAACTGTAAGTGCTATTGATCCTTTTTTTGATTTCTGTGCTACAATTGCAGCTTTGGTTTGGACAGAATGATGAGTATGATGCAAGTGTAGTTTGAATGACACCTTTAGACTTGTAATGGTGAAGCAAATGGAAGAATCAGAGTAATCTCATATAAGTGAAGTTTTCATTAGCGCTTAATGTGTGCCATATGCTTTTTCATCTCTTTGTGCATCATGAACATTTAAGGACTAGTGCTGTAAGATTGACCTTACTTTTAGCAATAAAGAGCTGCCTGTAGAGTTCAAGCAATCAATGGTCTAGAGAAGCAATGGGATGTGTCCTTAGGAATACTGACAGATGATGTCTTCCAGGGACAAGCAGCTTTGAGATGGCAAAATGCTTTATAACTTGTACATTTGTTTTAATGCTTGTATCTTGTATCATGACAACTATTTCCTACTGCACCTTGTTCTGATAGCTTAGCTCTTACTTAAGACTTCTGTTAGCTGTTAATGCATGCAATCCCAATTCCTACGTTTCTTTTAATTTGTGTGAGCAAGTCTTAAAATTGGCAGGAAAAATTGCAAAAACTGCAGAGGGAAGGTAGCTGTAAGTAATGCAGCTAGGGAGAATATCACACCATCTAAACATGCTTTACAGAAAATCTCACTTTTCTTGTTCTGCTTGTTCTATGTGGAGCAGAAAGAGGGAAAGAAGGAGCGAGCGATGGTGGACAGATTGTTTATTGCAAGGATATGTCGAATCCTGAAAATAATGGTCCCTAGAGCACTTTGTAAGGAGGTAAGCATTGCCTTCAGTAACAAAGAAAAATGGGTGTTTTTGGAGTTGTTTTCTCTTGTAATATACCTTGCTAGAATAGGGCAAAATTGTAGTGCGTACTTTAAAATGGCAACAAAACATGAAAGTATAAAAAGCTACATCCACTTTCAGTTATTAGAGTGCTAAAATGTGATGACTTTTATCCATTGTTTAACTATTATATATCCATTTCTGTACTAGACAGGTTACTTGCTGCTTATTGCTGTAATGCTGGTAGTCCGCACATATTGTGATATTTGGATGATTCAAAATGGAACAGTCATTGAAAGGTATCTATTAACTGCTTATTTTAAAATATTGTTGTTACTTTTAGCAGGGGAGGGTGGTTTAATTCAGACATTTTATTGCATATTGATGTGCCTGAATAACTGGTATAGCCATAATTTTGTGGCTCCTATTATTTTGAAAGGGAGAAAAGAATATTTTATTGTTCTGCTCTTGGACACTTTTTAAATCAAATGTACCTCTTGGTAAATGATTTTTCAGACATATTTTGTACGTTGACAACTCTAAGTCTTGTGATGATCTGAACATCCAATGAGGTGCTTTAGAATGGTGATGTGATGGTTCTGTAACAAATGAAGTCAATGTACAGGTGACTGCACAGCAGAATTTGGGGGCGTTAGAACTACAGATGTGTAAAGTAATTTTGAATAGAATCAGAAATATGTAGTTCTGTTAAATTACAGATATTTTGTTCCCATAATACAATTGTAAAGAAAGATAATGGGGGGCTATTCAAGATCATCCTTTAAAACTTACTGCTGCTGTTCTGGTGTTTAAAACCTGCTGCACTTGGTAACATAGGCAGTCACATACTCTGCTAATTTTCCATAGCTGCTGTGATGGTGAAGCAACTGTGCTATGCTGTTGCTATGTTTTTCCTGTTCGCTTCAGAACTGGTGAACTGTTGGTCTTTTTAGTCATTCATCTGCAACACTGCCAAATAAATGTAGCTTTTCATCAGCAACATTTTTTTTTAATTGGTTATAAATCAAGTTGGCTCATCTTTAAGGTGTAATAGAATTCTAATACTGATATGGTTCTATCTTCATATCGCTTTGTCTCTTCAGCTAGAAAATTCAGATTCTATTCTTTTGAAACTGTCAACAGCTAGTAGCAATAATATTTTCTGTCTGTCCGGCTCATCTATTAGCACCTCTGATCTTGTAATGTCGGGAATACGTAAGGAAGTTCAATGGCAGTAGTTATATCTTTATATCAGAGGATAATGTTTTTGTTACTGTTGGGAGACGATTGGAATTCTCCTGATGTGTGTTTTACTTGAGTTTGTCATTCTTGATCCTACAGCTACAAACTGCTGGTCTTCGCCATGAGTTTTTTTTTCCTCTGCCATGTGATCCACTGACAGTTTCTCCACTTGAGTACTACCAGATTATTGTTTGTCTTGTAAATAACTCTTAGCTTATGGCTGTTTGCAGTGCTATCATTGGTCGCAGCAGAAAAGATTTCAAGAAATACTTGTTCAACTTCATTGCCGCAATGCCTGCCGTAAGTGCTTCTCTTGGATTTAAGATATTTTCTGCTATAAGAATGGCACAAATTAAACATTTGTGGAGAAGATTTCAAATGGGTGTCTCAGAGTCTGTGGGAAGTAGTTGCTTTATGTGAAGGTTTGTATTGAACAGATTTAATTTTCTGGCTTCAGTACGTGAGAGACTATCGGCACATTTCTGCATACTTGCTGATTTTGCTGTAATGTTTAATTTTTCAGGTTGGTTTTGTTGGTGGTAGTTTTGGCTAACTGCGTGGTATGACACCTGTAGGACTACCTAGTCTTGTTCTGTGAATTGGGTGATGTTTAGCAATGTAGTTTTAGAATTTTTCGACACAATCCAAAATCTTTTCAGTTTTCTAGCTTTAAATTTCTTACAACTCTTTTTGAAGACTTGGGTTTTTTTCCCATTGACTTTTCCTTCAGCTTTTTGAAAATCTGACCCCCACTAGATTAAAAAAAAAAAAGATAAGCAACACAATTGTTACTACCTTATAAATAATCTGCCTATTATATGATAGGCATAATAGTGAATCAGTCATTAAGACTATTAAATGGTGGCTCTCTTTTAGTTTAGCAGAAAAGCTAAAGATTTGTTGTCTCAATGTTGGTTAATATTAGATCTTCTGATGTGATGAGTACCACAGAGAACTGGAGTTGTCAAAAATGTAAATGAAAACTTAATCAGTGACTGTGTGGACACCATATATTTGGTTTTAAGTAAGTTAAACAGTATTATTGACTTCCAGAGGACAATTCACCTATTTTAAAGTGTTTGCACAATCTGTGCTGCAAATGAATCGAGTTATATTGGATCTTGTTAGCTAAATATTGAAATACTGTCTCTTTCTAGATCTCTTTAGTAAATAACTTCTTGAAATATGGTCTAAATGAATTGAAACTCTGCTTCCGAGTAAGGCTCACCAAATACCTCTATGAGGAATATCTCAAGTGAGTAACACCTTGTTAACCTAGTGTTTTTAAAAACTGAATTGATCCAAATTGAAGCAAATCAGTTTAAGGCCATAGTAAGAAATTAGCAAAATGCTTGGTAGTTATATTATTTAGAAAAGACTTCTGATTGCATTTAGCTTGAAATGAAGAATGAGTGGTTCATCCAGGTTGTATATGGCAACAGGTGCAAAGATGGCAGAGTTGGCTCAAATGGACAAAAAAAATAGGCTTCTATTAATAGGTGAGCTCTCTAAGTCCTTCAGTTGCTCTTGTTTGGTGCTAATAATGTACTGGCTGGATTGGATGTATGAATTTGAGTAGCTTCTTACGTTCTTCTGCACTAAGTTTAGGTTGTCAGGTGTGCTGTTGAGATGATCACAAAGATCTTCTAACTCAAAATGCAGCACCAGAGCACAGAGCAATCTGGGGCTGAGGTTCAGCAAGGGTGATGTTCTGGAGCCTAAACATTTCTGGGAGAGTTAATGTGGGTCTGTTCTTGCAGAAGCATAAACAATGTTGACTCCATGCAGTCATTTAATGTCTGCATTGTTTTTCCCCTCATTGTATGATGTAAGGAATTTCCAATTATTTGAGATCATATGGTAATGATTTCTCTTTTTTCTGCCTCTTAACCACTGTTTTGTTTCAGGGCTTATACATACTACAAAATGGGAAATCTGGACAACAGAATAGCTAACCCAGATCAACTCCTTACACAGGATGTGGAAAAATTCTGTAACAGTGTAGTGGACCTGTACTCAAACCTTAGCAAGGTAAACTTTTTTATAGAGAACTTTGAGTTATAGCTGTGGTCAAAAATTTGTTTAAGCTATTATGCTAATATTTTTTTTCTCTGCAGTTTCCACAACCTCTGCTAAATTCCTGTGATAAATTGTAAAATTTTTCCTAAATTTTATTTTAAAGAACATAATGCTCTTTTTAAGCAGGTAAGCAGGGATGTGTGCATATTTTCTCAGCTAGTTAGATTTCAGAAGAATAATAATTGCTAATTCATAGTTAAATAGAAATACAATTATGGCTAGGGATGTGTGGCTGAGTGCATCTTCCTTTGTTTCATGTGTAAAACTTCATTTTTTGATGCAATGAAGTAAAATCACAATTATATATTCATATTACATTGATATTCTAATGTTTTGTTTTCTCTATGCTTCTGTTACAGCCCTTCTTGGATATAGTTTTGTATATCTTCAAGCTAACAAGTGCAATAGGAGCTCAGGTAACTTGAGCGTTTTTTACATACGTAAGTTTTTTCCCTTTGGTTCTAGCATTGAATCTGGAATCTGAGGAGAATGTTAGATGTTAACCATAATTCCATTCATTATTTCAAAGGATATACTAAAATATGCTTTAACACTTTTATTCACTTATGTTTATAAGTGTTATGTCTATATGTGTTTTATAAACTTCAGTTCTTTTTGACTTGAGGCAAGCAAGATAAAAAACTCTTAAGCTTAAAGAGGATAGATTTAGGTTAGCCCTGAGCAATCTGATTGATCTGTGCATGTCACTGTCGCAGAGGAATTGTACTAGATGACCTTTAAGGGTCCCTTCCAATTCTAAGGATTCTATGATTCTGTGATCTATAGTAAAATCAGAATTTGCAGGCACTCAGCTATCATAAAGTGTAAGTTCTTTGTTTTCTTTTGGCTGTTGCTTGGGAATTCCCTTTGGAACAGTGCCCTTTCTGGTTGCTCTTATCTTGCGTGTCTGTCTTTTAACGGAAAAATTAGTTTTCCTGTTTCTTTGTAACCTGTATAAAGAGAAGCCATTCCTTGGGTGGAAATGAAGGAGAGAAGATAGGAAAGACTTAAGAAACTTAGTGAAACAAGAAAGCAAAACAGGAGATATAGGTTTTTCTCTGGATGATGATAAAAATTTGAGTAGAGAGCTGGGAGGGAGAATTACATCTGTAAACAGGGAATTAGGAGGAAGAAGATCATGTTGGCTGCATGGAGGAGGAGCAGCATGAAAGGAATTGTAAGGGGATGCTAATACAGACACATGGAAAGAGAGAATCAAGGATGTCAAGGACTTAATGCTTTCTATGCATTTTGGATATAGATGTTGCAGTTTCCGTTGGATTGTAAATTTTGGTTGCAAACCATTGGATTGAAAGTTTTTATTCTCTTTTGATATTTACAGGGTCCAGCTAGCATGATGGCATACTTGATTGTGTCAGGGTTTTTCCTTACACGTTTAAGGAGACCAATTGGCAAGATGACTATCATAGAACAAAAATACGAAGGGGAGTACAGATATGTCAACTCACGGCTTATTACAAACAGGTATACATTTACTTGGTTAGTAAGATAGAAATGACAGAATAATTCTGTAGCATAAATTTAGGCTGGTTGTTATATAAATAAATAAATATATTCTAAAAGAGACTGTCAGTTCTGAGCCTTCACATCTTTATGCAGATTGTGTAATCACTTCTATTTGCGCTGTATTCCTAATCTGAAAGAAAGGCTGTGTACGTGGTAGTTGGGCACAGATGCCTATTTCAGACAAAAAGAACAGTCTGTGTTTTATAGTTGACTCTTTCAGATTGTCACTTAAAAAAAAATGAAGTTTCCTTCTTTGTCTTTTTTTAAAGTGAAGAAATTGCTTTCTATAATGGAAATTTGAGAGAAAAACAGACTATTCACAGAACCTTCCGTAAACTGGTAAGACTACTTTAAAACTTTAATTTTCTCATCATGATTCAAGTTTATCTTTTTTTTCCTTGATGTTCTTTTGAACCTTTCTCCAGTATTATATCATCAGAAAAGGGCTTATCTAACACTGCTTCTATTAAGTTCATTTTCTTGAAACAGCTGATTTTTGTACTAGCAATCTTAAAATCAGTTCAATTATTGCCAGCTTTGTGTCGAAGAATTTTTGTATAGAAGTTAGTACTATGATTCCAGCTAAAATAATTATTCTAATATAACTGTTTTGCATAAACTGACTTTAAGATTCTGGTCAGAAGAAAGATATTGTGTAGTACAGAAATGGATAATATCTCGGATTTCTGTAATATATGGTCTCTTGAGAAGTTTTCATAGAGAGATTTCTCCATGAACATGCTGAATAACTATTAAACAAATGAGCTATATTGAAAGATTTGTTTCTTATTCTGTTCAGTTTAACTGTATGCAGTTGTATATGCAAAAATAGAGTGGAATGAGAATATAAGGAAAAGCTGAGAAATAGAAATGTCCTAAAATGTGTGTATGCAAAAACATTCATTTAAAACTACTCGTAGTTCTTCTGATTAAGTCTTACTCTGCAATTCAAATGTGGTTTAACTCTTTGATGCTGATTTTTGTCTGTTCAGCACATTACAAATGAAACACTTTTCAGGCTCGTCTTCCTTTCTACTTGTGTAGGTCTCAGCCTTCGAATCCTCATGCCTTGTTCAGAAGCCAATTTATTCTGTATACCATCTTTTTCCTTAATTGTTTCTGTTCTTTGTTTTGCCAGCTTTCAACGCTTCTGTCCACTTCTCTTCTTCCTGCTGCAGAGTTTCATTTCCTTGCTTATTGTGTTTTGTGTTCTTTAATTTAGAGCTCTTCTAAGTCTTTCCTTTGGTCTGTATATTTGTGTATATTTTTATAAATTAAACTGAGTTGAGTTGGTGTTTATGCTGTTACTATCATCAGATTATAGATCCATTTTTAGAATAAAATCAGGATGTAGTTTTCTGACTGAAAACTTTCTCTTGCTGCTCAAAACCCACCACTGTTGCTGTCCCTTCTCACTGCTTAATTTCAGGTGTAGGTTTCCTTGATCTAGAATGCAGATGTTTGCCAGCAGGGACATTGGTAGTAATTATCACAGTTAGGCATTGTTAGGGGTATTTGTGATATATGTGACTTACTGAAAAATAACTGTACTTGGAATCAAAAGTCTAAAAAAAAAATCATAAAATATAGCAAAACAAGGACTGATAAAGTCTGACTTATTTATTTCTGTAACTTGCCAGGTGGAACACTTACATAACTTCATCCTGTTCCGGTTCTCTATGGGTTTCATTGATACCATCATTGCCAAATGTAAGTGTTCAGTACTAATGGACTGTAATAAATAGCCAGCACTAAACTGTTTTTTTCTTTTTAATTGCTTCAATTAGCATGTGGGTTAATATTTACCCTTAAAAACTGCAGATCTTGCCACTGTGGTTGGTTATCTGGTTGTTAGTCGTCCATTTTTGAACCTGGCTGATCCTCGTCATCAGAATAGTACCCATGCAGAACTTCTGGAGGTAAACAGAACAGAATTAAAACAATATATTGAATTTATGTTTTGTTAGTTCATATAAAGAAACTTTATTCTACTCTAGGATTACTACCAAAGTGGAAGAATGTTACTGAGAATGTCTCAAGCTTTGGGTAGAATAGTCCTAGCAGGTCGTGAAATGACGAGATTGGCTGGGTAAGTATAACAGTACTTGCGTAAGATGATCTTTCTTAAAGTTATGTTTTTGCTGATTCTCATCTCATCTTAAAAAGCAGATAACTGTTGAATTAAAATGAGCTATGTGCTTTGTTCAGAACAGTGTATTCAAAAATTAAAAATATTTTATACTGGAAACACTGTATTTGAAGACACATTTGTTTCCACTGAAAAGTAGCAGTGTACAGTTTGGTTGGTTGAAAGGATGGTGGCAGGTATTTGTGAATCAGTTATGTGTTATTTTACCAAAATGTTTGGGGGTTTTTCACTTACAATAAGTCCTTCGCTAAAATATGGAATATCTGACTGCAGTAGGAAAAGGTTCTTGCAACCTTAGTGCAATTCTAAAGTCTTCATTTCCAATGCTGGTGTGATGAACATTTCATTTTGACTTCTTAATAGAATACTTGCTACTCCTCGCATCGATTTCTGAAACTTGTAAGGATTTATAAGTTTTGTTTTCTTTAGTTTCACAGCTCGAATTACAGAATTAATGCAGGTTCTGAAGGATTTGAATAGTGGCAAATATCAACGTACCATGGTATCGCAAGAAAAAGGTAAATGGGCTGTTTGCTGTGCAATACTAGGTATCTCTTCTTAATGCTCCAGTTTCTAATACATTTTTTCTTTAAGATGCAGATATAAAACAAGCTTTACCTTTGATACCGGGATCTGGTGAAATTATCAACACCGATAACCTTATCAAGTATGTTTTTCAAGTTCCTACACCTTCAGTATTTTTAATGTAGACTGGTTTTTTAGTTTTCTACCACTGTTAATAGGGCTCATACACTTAATAGAGCAATACACTTAATTACAATAAGGAATTCCTGCTGTAGCATAGATAGCTTATAAACAGTTCCCTCTCATTACCATTTAACACTTCTGTTCTGAGAGTCGGTCTTTGTTTTTAAATATTAGCAGGAAACATGCCTGTTGCATTCGCTTAGCCTTCTTGGTGACTTCCTGCTGCCTGACCATGCTTTTTTTTTTTTTAATTAATGCTTCATCAGTCCTTTAGAAAATATTTTGATAGTATGCTTTGTCCTTTGATATAGTTCAGCTGCAAAAATCAGGAAGAAGTCTATATTCATTTTCAAAACACTTGTATACTTTGGTCACTGATGTACTTAAGTAGCAGGTGGTTTTTTTGTTTTTTTTTGTGGCCTAAAGAACATAAGTTGATGTGCTACTGAAACAAACACGAAGTAAGGCAAGTTAAGACACTAAATAGCTTCAGTCTAGTTAGTGTGGAAGTCAAATATGGGAGTAGAGGTGGAGGGCAGGAGAAGGAAGTTGGTGATAAAGCTATTTAAAAAAAGCAAGCTAAATGTAGGTTAATATCCATAGGATGTTTTGGAGACTAAAGATTTAGAAATATTCAGAAAACAGATACTTGAAGAAAACCTTTCAAGAGGTTCAGTAAACATCTAAGAAATAAAAACGGTCTTAATTTTCTTAGCTGCTGATTGTTGGAAACTGAGATAATGTAGTGAATAAAAAACTGCTGAAATCTTCTCTGTTCCTGAAATCTTTTGCCTAAGCATGCAGTGCTTGCTGCCTTTAGGCATCTGCTCTCATTTTGATTTATTTTATTCTTAAAATACAAATAGGTTTGATCATGTTCCGTTGGTGACACCTAATGGTGATGTTTTGATCCAAGACCTGAACTTTGAGGTAAGATTTTAAATATCATCAAAAAATGTATTGTGCTTCATTTAACACTTTAAAGTGAAAGTGGTAAGTGGTCAGAAAAAAAACAAGCAAACAAAAATGTAAAAAGCGATGTTTGTATGATGTGCATATGCAAGAACAAAATTCATGTTTTTTCTTAATTTTGAAAAATAAAGGCAGTAAACTGTTGCAGATGAAGTTTGTTACAAGTATGTTTTTTTTTCTAGCTGCAATTGTTGCCAAACTAGCTGGAGAAAAGAATTAAGTATTGTTGGAAATTCTTCACTGATGTCATCTGCTACTATGTACAAACCTACAAGGACAAGAGTGCTTTCAGCACTTTTCAGTACTTTCTCAATACTGTTTTAATGTTTTGTCTTCACATTTTTAGGTTCGATCTGGTGCAAATGTTCTGATTTGTGGGCCAAATGGATGTGGGAAGAGCTCACTTTTTCGTGTTCTTGGTGAAGTAAGGAAACTTTCAAATAGATTTAGAAGAATCTACAACAGAAACACTATTGTAGAACTTTTTTCCTCAAGTTTAAATCTTTTTCTTGTAGCTGTGGCCTTTGTTTGGTGGACGTTTAACAAAGCCTGTAAGAGGAAAGTTATTCTATGTTCCTCAGGTGAGACAAAGTACTTTAACAAACAAGTCTTCTCTTTCTTCCTTTGATGACTGTTTATAAATATTTGACATAACTTATTGTCTGTAACTGTCTCAGAGACCATATATGACTCTTGGAACACTCAGAGATCAAGTTATATACCCAGATACTTTGGAAGATCAGCGAAAGAAAGGGATTTCTGACCAGGTAACAAGTGATTCATTTGCTCATATTAATTCAAACAAATGGTTATGCTTTAAATTAAAAATACTGATACTATAGAAACAAACTAAATGTAGTGTTTTTAAATGTTTATCATGATTGATGTTACACCTGCATAGTAGGATAACCCTTTATAACTCTTCTAAATATATATATTTTTAAAGTTCACTTAAACTTCGTTACTACTTTTCAAAAAAGGTGCTGAAGGAGTACTTGGATAACGTCCAGCTGGGTCAAATCTTGGAGCGTGAAGGAGGCTGGGACAGTGTTCAGGACTGGATGGATGTACTCAGTGGAGGAGAAAAACAGAGAATGGCTGTATGTCTCAAAAGCATAAGTACTTAAAAAATATATACAGGAAATAAGTTGAAAATGCAATCTGGATTTTAAGCAAATTTTGTGTATTAAATATTGGTATTTTACTTAAAGAAGGAAACCTCAAAAAGTGAAGTATCTGAATACAGCAAAAACAGTTGAAGTAACAATTAGTTTTGCTTGAAATGTAGTAAGAATGTTGAGCTTGTACCATCCCTTGTGCTTTGATTATGTGAAAGATGTTTTTAAAATAATGGTTTTGCAAGTAAAAAAAAAAGTCAACGGTGTAACATACAGCTCTCAATTCTCTTGCCACAGTAAGTTTTTGGACATTGATTTTAAGTCTAAATTGTCACATGACTGTACTGATTGCAGTCTTGTATCCATGTAATTTCTTTGGTTTGCATTCTAGATGGCAAGACTGTTTTATCATAAGCCCCAGTTTGCAATTCTGGATGAATGCACCAGTGCTGTTAGTGTTGATGTAGAAGGCTACATTTACAGCCACTGCCGAAAGGTAATTCCTTTCCTTTTATTTTTCAGTAAATTGTACAAGAAAGCATTCCTGTACTCTCACTGCTTTTAGTGAGTTTCTAATTTAGAAAGACTGACATTTGGAGATAAAATTGCTAGCTATAGCAGTTGTGCCAGTCCTTATACAGTGAATACATGTATGTTTCATCACTTTAGTGTAATTATTTCTTCCTGCAGTAATGCCTCATGAATCTCTGAAGTAGAAATGGCCCACTGCTATTTCATTTCTTCTCACCTATGCAGTTCTGTGATTTACATAGCAAATAACTTGGTCGTCATCCCAGACATTCTGCATGCTTCTATGGTGCCTTGCAGAAAGATAATCTTTTTTTCTTTATTATTTGAGAGGGCCAGGCTGCATCTTCCAGCTCCAGATAAGTATTCTTTACTACTTTAGAAAAAAATTTATAAGTGCCTAGAATTGTTTCACACCTAGCAAGGGAGCTCAGATATGTGTTGTATATGTACACAACGAAGTATTCAGGGTGTGCATGAAGATGTTTCTGGAGGAGAGTGCTCAGGGCCTTCATGAATCAGTGCTGCAGAAGAACTTTGGCACTGCCTGCCTTCTCATTTCTTCCTTTCTTGCATTCCTGAGGTTGTATTACTAAGAAAATCTTTTGTTTTTTCCTTAGTATTCATCCACTGTTCTTCATCATGGCTAAGAAAAGCAAAAGAGTTTACTTAGTTTTCAAGAGTTATTTGAAACATGCTCCTGAAAACGCATTTTTTTTCCTCAAATATATCTCTAGAATTATATCTGTGGTTAAGAGGAAACTTGAAAATAGTATAAAGTGGACTGTATCTTATGCCTAGTATAGAATTTATTGAAGGGGGGAAAAAGAAAAGCTTAGGGTATGCAAGGTCTCTCTATGCGTGCTAGGGTTTGATAAGTGTTTTATAGTCTCTTGGTAATTTAGGTGTACATGTGATACTCTGCTTCAGAACTCTCATTAGATGAGGACTGTGGAGTAATAGACATTGTTTCTTGAAGTAATTTTGCCACATAACTGAATACTGTGAAAATTTTGTAAGAACAGTTTTGCATGTTTTATTTCATTAAGACTGGAATGTCCACTTGTTTTTAGAATTACTGTTGCCAGGTGACTAATGCGTATTACTGAGAAACAGACTTCCTATCTAGTCTGTCCTTGCAGAAACTAAGAAAATTACCGTTTTATTATTGGAGCCATTTTGTCTTTTATTTGGTACAGCTGCCAGGAATGCATAGTTAACTGAGTTGCAAGGAAAATTGCCTTTAAGTTGTTGCTTACAAAATTTATAATTAATTGCTTTTGTGGCCTGGGGATTCGTGACTTTTTTTCATGTTTAAGTAGACAATTTTTAATTATCAGCTATATTTTTGTAACCTGAAACTTTATCTTCCTTGCCCTATTAATTCTACCAAAATATCAGAAGCAAGAGAATGGTGAAATCAATTGGAAAAGTTAGAACTTTTTAAAATTGTAAGATCTTGCATTAAGACTACATATTTACACTATTAGTAGTGGTCTGGAAGCTTGTGTTTATGAATTTAACTTCATCAGCTGTATCAGGCTGAAAAATAAATACTATCCCTCCATGAGAAAAATGAAATTAACTGCCTTATTTCCTTATTCATGTAGGTTGGCATTACGCTCTTCACTGTCTCCCACCGGAAGTCACTCTGGAAACATCATGATGTACGTAATCTATCCTTTTGCTAAGTATATCTGTAGCTGGTTGAGATTTCTTTTGTATTTTTCTATTAAATTCAAGATGTTCACATTTTATTTCCTGGTAGATCATGTTCTGTTTTATTAAAAGGTCATTCTTTCATAATCCTGTTGCAGTATTTGAAATATTCTTGCTCTTCTAATTACGAAAAGTTTTTAGCCTAAAAAAAATGCCCCTGAAAAAATAACCCTAATCCAACAGCAAATCAACTTTAATGAGAGTTCAGTAAAAAGTATGGAGAACTTGCTTTCAGAAGATACCTACCTCCTAAACCTCTACATAAATTTCTCTCTAATACATAGACTCTTTTTTCAAATTTAATACATTACTAGTATTATCACATTTTACCCAAATTGTGTGTAAGAGGGAGTGGATGCTGAATTAATATAGAGGGACGAATGTATAATTTTAATATATTGTCACAACAGACAGAAGATCGACATTAAGTCTGGGTGTGACCAGTAGATTGGTGTTTGATAAGAACAAAACCCGTGTGTGTTTATGTACGTTTTGCATACATATACTTTTTTTCTCCCAGAGGTAATTGAATTTAGTGAAGCACAAGGTGGGACCCCCTGGCCAGCTGAATTTAAGATTTTATGTTGAAGCTACTTAAAAATTGTAACTTATTTATGCACTTACAGGGCTGGTAATTTTTAAGGGATTGATAATGTATGTGTTTTTGTTTCAGTTTTACTTGCACATGGATGGCAGGGGAAACTATGAATTCAAGAAGATAACTGAAGACACAGTTGAATTTGGATCTTAAAATTCATAAACTGAACTGCTACAGAGACTGATTACTGGAAATGTGTAGAATGGCAAACCTTGTACAGTAAATCTACTCAGCTTGTTTTTAAACAAATTAACTAGGATAACTTAAAACAAGCTCTTAAGCGTTTACTATTATGTAGGATATTGCTAATTGTGTATATGTTGGTTTAATTATTAATATGTACTAAGAATGTCTTTATTCTTGTGGTTTAAAAACCTGCCTAAATTAAATTGGGCTTAAATCAGTGTAACCTGATTCATCCTGGGATGCAAACCATTTGAAATCAGCTGATTTGACTTTTGTAGACCTTCTTTCCCTTCAGTGAAAAGCCCTGTTTAAATTAGGGTTGCTACCTCTCTCTTGTTCCTGCAAAGCGGTCTTGGATATTTTGCTCTGTTCTATGCATATTTCTGAGTTATCTCACACAATGCAGGACATTATCCCATCTTCAGATCTATGCTCTGGTTGGTTCATGAAAGGGCCTTTTCCTTCACCAAGCCTTGTGATGTAGCCAATACACCCTTGCCGATAAAGAACGGACTGAATCTGAAAGATGAAACTAATTCCTTCTGCTAAGAAAATTAAGCTAGTGCTGTGCTGGGTTTTGGGTTTTCTTTCAATCTTTGTCTGTCCATGCAGTCATCTGCTGCTCACCAATCTCATTCTCTTCTGATTTATTAAGACCTCTTCTATAGCTCCACCTTTTCTGTCAGTGAAACCCTGTGGTAACAAAGAGTTGAGAGGAAATTGAGGGAGGAAAGGACTAATCAGAAGGGGAAAAGAAAGATGATGTTTCAGCTGAGAAAGCCAAATAGTTCCCACGAAGCCTGGGAGCAATCATTCTTCTCTTGAAATTGGTAGAAGTTAAAAAAGACTCAGATCATTCCTCTGGAAGATAATTTTAATAGACTGTTGTGTATCCTGTGTGTGTGTGTGCTCAGTTTTGTGATGCAGCAGCTACTTTTCCTTTTCTTCCTCTTCAAAAAATCAGATCTTCTTGTGGTTTTGGCTGCTTTACAGATATGACTTTGAAAGTAAGTGATAATGGTACTCCTTGATAGGCAAATTTTTCTAGTCTGTGAAGCCTAAAATAACACTTTCATCCTTCAAATTTTTCTCTAATTTTGGTTGTGAGGTTTCTTGATTTATGATTTAAAAAATAAAAATAAAAAATTTACCAGCAGTTCTCAGTGCTAACTATGACTAGTCCCTGCTGGTTTTATTATTCTGGCTGCCAAATCCCTTGATGAATTTAAACTCTTAAATTGTTTACTGTAACCATTTTTCCCCCATACAGATGATGACTCTGGTCATGTGATTTTGACAAACATAGATGCAGCGAGGTGAATTTTGTCATCGGGGAGTAGGAAGGTATAACTCAAACTGAATTACTGTTTAAGCTTTAAAACAAAAAATTGCAATACCTGTTGTACATTGAAGGTCTAATAATTCCTTATTGTTCCACATAAGATATAATATAGGAATGCTTTATATGAAGGCATGCATAAAATATGCAATAAATCTGCTCTGTGCATCTTTTGTCACAGGCTTAGGTTTAAAAATATCTTTTCATAAAACGGATATGAATTTGGATGTACTGCTGTATGTTGACTTCCTTAATTTCATCATCTTTCATGTTGGGATTGCTACCTGTTAGTATTTTTCCTTTGATCGTAGTTCTTGCCCTTGACTTTCACTGCTAGTATTCTTTGATAGTATTCAAATGCAAACAGCTATCCTAGTCTAAGAATCCACTGATCACAGTAGATTTGTGGTAGGATGCATCGAGGAAAGTCAAAGTGTGTCACATTCAGGAGCATAAGGTGCCAGAATAAATTTTTATGCTCGTTCCACAAATAGAAAACAAATAGACAAATCTCATGTTACTAATTTTCTGCTCACTCAGATTTGCGTATCAGCCTAATTTGTACTGTAGCAGGTAGCAGCATGCGTTAAGTGAGGTTGTAATATTTTTTGACTGTAACTGTGAAAATATGAATGCCAGATAGCTATTCTTGTGAAAATTGTCAGCACAAATGCAACAACTTCTCTTGGAAGGGTTGATATACTAGCCCCTTTGTGAAACATGAAGAAAAAAAAATCAATTAAAATGAGGAAGTTGCTGTTATGTTTGTGAATAGGGCAGACTTGGGATACTTCAACAAATTTCTAACACTGACAAGTAAAACCATACACGGTACACTGATAAGGAAACCTAGCAACCAGTCCTGTGGTTCCTCACAATTCAATTGGTCACTAATAGAATTTTGTGTAACCTCCAGATTTATTTAATAAACTAAAAAAAGTCCTATTTTATAACCAAGGAAAGTAATTTGACTTTATAGACGACGTGACATTCATTGACATGGAAGATGCTATATTTCGGGTCAGGACCTAGCATTTCTAAATGTACTGAGAGGGAAGAGAAAGTATTCTGTGCTTGATTGCAAACAAGGCTTATAAAATAATACAAGAAATGTTTTAGAATGATATTCTTAAAAGGCCTTATATTGAAGTATTTTGAGATAGGTTTGATATAAATGAATGTTTGTAAAACCTAATGAAAGTGATCAAGTCTCAATTATGTTGCAGAATTGCACTGTGATGCTGTATTTTAGCTCTTAAGTCTTTTTAATAGCACAAGTTGGAATTCTGTAAATTGGAATTCTGATCTATCTTGGTAAGGCAGAGTACTGAACTGTTGATGCTTTGGAGATGGTATTGGTACTGGTCAGGTGGCTGCATTTCAACAGTGGTGGGAAACATTCCTGTATGTAAATACTGTAAAGTGTTTTTGAGGGGAAAATGGCGCTATATAAATGTAAGACATTAAGTGCCTCTGAAATAATAAATCTAAAGACAAAATATGTTTAAGCTTTTTATGTTTCTTGATGTGATTAGGATTTTTGTAACAATACAGAACATGTATTCAGCAAATACTGAATTACTCACTGAGCTACTTGACTTGTGTTCAGCTTATAAAGGTGATGGTACTGCCTGATATTCATCCAGGCATCAGCCAGACAATGCCATGCAGTTGTAGGCTTAACAAAAATATGAACACTACTCAAAGATCTGTAACTCAATTGCTTTGTGTATATGTGCGTTAATCTGTTTTCAATCTGCTCTGATTTTGACCTCTGTTCTCTCTTTTTCTCTCCTACATCCTTTGTCCACTTCTTATCCCTCAAAATTTGCCTGCATAAGATTAACATATATGTTTATGTGGTAATTCTTTTGAATGCTCCCTGTTCCTTGAACTTTGAGGAAGTTGCATGTATTGTATTTGTGATTTTTTCTTTTTTTTTTTTTTTTGTTGTGGTAGATCTCCCCCATCAGGATGCTTGATACTGTGTAATCTAAGAGTGATAGATTTACCTAAATGAATTGATAGCAGGGATGTTATCCTGTCATCAGTGCTTCTAATGTTAGTGGTTTTTTCTTAACTGAGATTAAGAATATCAAACAAACTTGTATATGTAAAGGAATAGAGCTGGCTTTGTAAGGAAGCCTCTCAAATTCAATTGAAAAATCAAGTGTTGTTCAACTTAACCGAAGAGCTGGATGATGTTTTACATTATAGATGTGATATTTAATATTCTAATAATTTGAGCGCTGTAAAGTTTGCTGCTTATAGAATTCTGGCCTTTCTGCTACCCAGTTCCTTACAAGTATTTTGTATGCATCAGTACCAGTTCTTCATTATGTAAAGGGAAAATATTGATTTATGGAGCAGTGAAACTGAAATAACAGGGTTACTCTGGGAAAGGTTGGCAGTGTAAACTGCATCCTGGCCTGTAGATGTGTTTGGAATGTTTCTTCTCTAAAAGAGGCACAGATGGTTTAGTAGGCACCTGGCTGTTCAGTCCAAATGCAAAACTGAGCACTGTTTGAGGGTGACTTGTACTATGAAGAAAATTGTGGAGGCATTGCCATTTAATTAGCTGTATGCTGTATAGAAGCGATGAACTGGTGGGAATCAAAGCAGCAGTGTGGTTCTCTTTGTGGAACGCCACCATGATGCTTACCGGACAGACATCTTAATTAAGTCATAATTGGAACTGACAAGTGAGTCACTACAACTTAGCAAAATTGGCAGTTTGAGCTATATGTTTCTTAAGCCAGAGGATACTTCTATGTAAATTTAGCACTAGAGTGAGAGAGAAAAAAAATCACTGAATTGTTGTTGTTGTTCTTGTTTGTTTTTTTGTTTCCCTCTAGGACTCAGCCCTCTGCAGACTCAGTAGGTGCTACTGCATCCTTAATCTTTGGTATCATAAAATGACCCAGAAATGTGGAAAAAAACATTAAGATGTCCTACCATCAAGTTAGGAGATAAAAATCCATCATTAATGATTATATAGCATTATCACAGATACTGTGAGATGTTTGTAGAAACTTTCACAATAATGATCTCCTGAAATTCAGCTGTGAAAAACAGTTGGAGACTGTTTCATTTTTTTCCTGTTTAAAAAAAAAAAAAAATCAGTTTATTTTTGTCAAGTAGATAAATTTATACAGGTTCAAATTGCTGTTTACCAAGCTGCTGTATATTGTATAATGTATTTCTTCATTACCTTTCTTCATCACCTGATTTATGCCAGTTCTTTTCATGATCACGAAAAGAGGTTTCCTGCCTTGTATAAATCATGATCCCCAGTTGTTTGGGAAAGGGTAAAAGGCTGGTTGATTTTTCACTCCAAGTTGTGGTTCCAGATTCTCACTCATATTAATGCTTGGAGTTTGTGGGGGAAAACTGAACAGGTAGGAAAATCTGAGATTTTATTTCTTAAATGAGACTTCAGGTGTTGATGTCTTAGGCATCTTTTCTTTATAGTAGAACACATTTGTATTGTTCCAAGTAGAACTCCAAAGCAGGTGTTTTTTGACATACATCGTTCAGTCTGAAGTTGTCAACATGGAAGTTGCTCATCTGGATTCTCATCAGTGCTTCCTGTATGAAGTGATAGTAAGTACAAAAAGTAGAGAACTTTGAAGTAGAATGATGCAGGAAGTAGCTTCATCTTGTGCATATGCAAATTGGCTTTTTAACTTTGAAGGTTAACAATTAACAATTGTTACAGATTAGTCTGCCTATTTTTTCCTTGTGTTAGCTTATTATTAATAAATTAGTGGGCATTCTTTTTCCCTGTCTTCGTTGGGGAACAAACTGGCCCATCACCATTCCAGACACCTGCAGTCAGATTTTATTGCAGTGCCTTAAACTCCACCTGAAAGATTAGAATTATTGCCTAGTAAAGGCTTCTACAACACACATGCATTCTGAGAAAACTCAGAATCATTCATATACATTCAAATGCAAGATCCAGTGGTTTTGTCTTCAAGCAGAATTACAGCCAAGCTAGTACGAAAGCAATTTATCTTTGTTAAAACCTTAAAACAACTTTGTTTTAATGTTGCACAGTCATCTTTGAGCTGCTGTATCATTTTCTTTCCCTGTATGCAAAAGCAGAGCCAGACTATAAATAGTCTGGAAGCCCACAGACAGAAGCTATCTTCAGGGAATAGTTTAAAAAAACATGATAAATTTGAAGATTAAATTGAAATCATATGCCTAAATGTCTGGTGCAAAACTGTGGGCGCTGGCTTTGGAAACTGAAGACACATTGCCAGTAATTCTGCGAGGAGTGCAGCAGAGTAATAGTAATCATACAGCCGGCTTTATAAAATGTGAGGGAAGGGGAACTTCTGTGAAATATATCATTCCCAAACCAGCCCCAGCACTCACAGCGTCTTTAACTCTGGTTAGAAACCTCGCTTTTGGTGTCCTTTGTCGAGTCTGTAGTATAAAGATACAGAGGCTTTTACTGGCAAGAGGAGCTGTTGTGCAATAGTGTCCAGCCCTGCTGCCTGTTCTGCTTTTCCATAGACCAACATTTCCCATCTGTCCCTCATTCTGGGAGACATGGCATCCACACATGATGCTATACCAAAATAGAACAGAACTGGAAAAATGAGGTCAAAGCTGTCTATGCAAAACCTAGACTGCTGAGACTAATTTACTTGGGAACTCCACCTCTGTGACAGAGCAGATTTTATGCATTAAAGTATCTTTAGAGTTTGGCACAAATCACGACAATGTTAAAAGAAATCCTGATCATAAAAAGTTTGGAGAATGCTGCTCTGGAAAAGCCACACCCCGTATGCGATTGGAGAGATGTTCCTCTACACAACCAAATGTGCCTTTTATTTTCTTAGATGTAAGCATTTATTGCTATCAGATACTAAAACTGCTTACTAGACTGAAAATCTACTTTAATCTTTGTGAAGCATGATAAGCTAAGTAGTGTGAAGATGCTTCTCAAAGTAAACTGGCCCTTTATTTATTTACTTTAGCATGGTGTGCTGCCATAGGAGTGCCTTGGCACAAAAGCCACAGAGCTAAAAACAGCTGTCAGAAGCTGCTGATATGCCAGATGTTGTACAGTACTGCAGGATAACCCTCCATAGAGGGACCAATGAACAGAAGTGTTTGAGGAAACAATGGTTAAGGAGAAATAAGTGTGTGTTGAAGGCTTCTTTGAACCCCAATGCAATCTTATATATTGCAACAGGACTTCTCTGGAAAGCTAAGAACCACTGGCAGGTGTTGTGTATTTATTTTTTTTTTCTATGAAACAGGGAAGTGGGAACCAAAGTCAATTCTGCATATTGAAATTCTAGCCTTTCTAAACTCACAAATGCTAGGTAGATTATATGAAATCCAATTATAACTTTCTGTTAGGATAGTTGTGTTTATAACAGTCCTAAGAGAGTTTTGGAAGGGCTGCTTGAATTTAATCCTTTGATGTTCACAAAAATCTTAATGATTAGGGTGTATTTGCAAACTTCCTTGCCCTTCTCTGCGGTGTTGGAGTGCATCATATCAGTGGGATACAGGGTGCTTACATGGGTACATTTCAGAGGCAGGTAGCTCCTGTGTACAGCCATGTATTTGTGTTCCCAAGGTTGTGGGTAAGTTATTGGTCCTCATGAGAGAAACTGCACAGACGAGCAGAGCAGTCTCTCACCTGAGACCTATTCCTCTGGCAACTTCTTGTGCCTGTCACTGCCCCTGGAATGGGGAGAATTCCCCAAAAAAGTTGTTTTTGGAAGTTGCTTTGTGAAGCAAGCTTAGTAGAACTCAAGGCATGTGAAGCCCAAAATAGCCACTGTTACAAATCTAGTTGCGTTCCAGCTGGTCTTTCCCTATTTGTGCCTTTTTTTTAACTTGTCACCAGACAGAGAACGTGTTGTTACAGTTCAGTACATACTTGCACTGCAACGTAACCTGCATGGCTTTTACACAGGGCTTTTATACCCTGTGAGGTAGTAACACATTTTTCAGTGCTCCTAAAAGATCATAGCTGCTTCTCAGGGGGTCTCAATCCATTCCTTAATAGTTACAAGGACAGCGACAGGAATCTGTTCTGTGTTTCAGTTATCTTGAATAGGGAAAGCCTCGTAAGAGATTTAATGCTGTATGAATATCTTTTGATAGAATCATAGAATCATTAAGGTTGGAAAAGACCTCTAAGATGACCTAGTCCACCCATCCACCTACCGCTAATACTGCTAATTTGCCCACTAAACCATGTCCTTAATGCTACATCTACCTTTCCTTAAACACCTCTAGGGATAGTGACTTCACCACCTCCTTGGGCAGCCCGTTCCAGTGCCTCACCACTCTTGGAAAAGAAGCTTTCCCTAATTTCCAGTCTGAACCTCCCCTGGTGCAACTTGGAGCCATTCCCTCTTGTCCTCTCACTAATGATGTTAGAGAATAGGCTGACCCCCACCTTGCCACAACCTCCTTTCAGATATTTCTAGAGGGTGTAAGGTTTCTTCTTAGATGCCTCTTTTCCAAACTGAATGATCTCAGTTCCCTCAGCCTCTCCTCATAAATCTTGTGCTCCAGAACCTTCGCTGGCTTTGTTGCCCTACACTGATACTGAACCACTGAGTTTTCTGAGAGTAAAGGAATTTGGATTTGTGCAAATTTTAACATTGTTAAGCAAAGGGTAAATAAGTACTTGCTGACGGTGGCCTTGTTTTCAACAGTGCTAGAAAGTTGTACAAGATGAGATGTGTTATAACCTGAAGTCCTTGGAGAAGATGGCAGAGTGAAATAAGGATTACATGGAGGAATTCAGGAGGTATCCAGGGAGAGAACTGCTCCTAGATTTCCCATTGGGTCTCATTGAGCTGTTCAAGTTATCCATTGCTCCTCACTAATAGGAAAGAGATCTAATAAATTCAGTATGACCTTTTCCTTCAAGTTCTGGTGAAATCTGGATTCAAACAGGATTGTCATGCTGGTCATTTAAGAAAAAATAGATTGATAATAACATAGTGATTATGCCTCTTTTTTGCCACTTGGGGTCATCTTTTCTTAGTTCTAAGTAGCCTGGAATGTAGTACTGAATGTTCAGTTGCAGGATTAGCATTGTAGAGATGGTTTCTGGAGTATAAAATGCTTATACAGTGCTGCTATTGTGATCTCACACTATGAAAAGTAAACAAGATGTGTTTATGCTTCTACTCCAATAGAGATAGCTGAAGCAGTGACATATGGTGATATGGTTGCATCTTTGATCTATGGAAGAAAATGGATATTTTATGAATAAAGTGGAAAGATAGAATATAAGACTATAATCTCTGTGAAAATGTGTTTTGGACATGAATGGTAAAGTACAAAAGCAGCAGAAGGGAAATATTTTATGTTAATCAAGAATATACTCTTTTAATTAAGCTTAAAGATACCACCTTTTTTTTTTTGGCAGAAATAATTACTATGTTTATTGGAGTAGGCTTTAAAATCTCCCTTGTTATTTTAGCTCTTTTATTACATTCAATTTTTAATTTAGCTTTAGGACCACTGAAGGGCAAATTAAAAATATGATCACACTGGGAGAATATCTATTCAGAGGATGGAGATTTTTAATTAAACTGCTCTTCTGATGAGAAAGTTTTGTGATTATAATAATGTTAGGGTACTTTGCTTTTTAGATATGACCTGAAGTAAGAGGGTAGGAAATGTGAAAACAGAAAGAAAAAGGTGGCATTGAGATTTACTGGAACTGTAAATATTCTTTGAGTTCAGATTATTGACTTCATTGTTAATTAAGTAGTCACTAGAAGTGTACCTTTTTAATGGTAAGTGCATGCACTGAGACGCTCAAAACAATATTAGGAAATGCTCTGGAAGTTTCTGATCTGATATGGTGAGCAAGGGAAGTTGTAGAGAGTGAAAAATATTGCTATGGTATTAATGTATTCCT